TTTAGATCTGACTCTGTCTTCTAATGTATTGACTACTCTTTTCAGCTTCAGATCATACGTACATTCACTCCACATTCACGAAGGTCCTTATCTTCATATCTTTATTCTAAATTGATGAGTATATACCATACAATTTCATATTTGAGTGCATATTTATTACTTTCTAATTATTTCATATATGTAAATCCTGTTTCCACAATAATATTTTAAGCTTATCTATAGAGAGAATTGTGTCTTCTCCTTATTCCATGCCATCAGGCACAAATTAGGCATTCAATAAACATTTTGACCTGAAACCTCCATTATGGTATTTTTACTGTATAGCTGTATCAAGAATGAGCCACTATTGACCTTCATCTCATGTCTACTTAAGTGCTAATTTTCTTTACATCCATACAGATACATTTGTGGGAAAGACTATATCTGCCAAAAGCATCACAAAATCACTTCAAAATCAATTACAAGCTGTTCTAGTACAAACAGAGGCCACAGTGCCATCTAGTGAACATTACTAGTTTACTTATGTTGATCACAAGTTCATTTTCAGTCCTGTAATGGAAAGTATGCTTTTTAGAACTTCATATAGTAAATAGAACAAATATAAAAACAGCACATGAGACATGGTTGTGTTCCCTTTAGGTCGTATAAATATTCTATAAATAGCCTCATCTTGTGGCTGCTGTCAGTCTGATCACCATACTGGCTTTTGAGATTGTGCTTTAGTTTTACTGATCTACAGCAGTACTAATGACACTCATGTACCTAAACTACAGTTGCAAGCTGAGGATGGGATTTCTGTACTGAGTCACAGGATGCTCAATTGTACATTACCATTAACTTACACAGACTATCCCAAAAACCATCTATTATCCATCTCTTAATGAAAATTAAGGTTTTTATTATGATTTACAGCAAAATCCCATTATATCAATTTGTGATAAATCACTCCTACACTTAGAACCCAAGCTCATTTTCCCCATACTAGATCTGTCCATTCAAGCCTATGAACTGCACAAACCAAACATTTAAAAATCCCCAAAATGGGCCAGCCGAGTGGTGCATTGGTTAAAAGCTGGCTTGGGATGTCATCTCTGAGCAGCAGGGCCCCGGTTTGGATCCCACATGAGGGCCAGTGACACTGCCCTCTATAGCCAAGATGGTGAACAACAGTTCAACCTGGAGCTGGGCTGCCGTGAGTCACCGGTGACGGCGTAGGCTGCAGTGGGGCTGGCTGGCAGCTGGCATGTGCTTTCGTGAGCTGCCATGGGCCGCTGTGAGCGGCTGTCCAATGGCCAGCGAGTGACTGCCTCACCCGGGAAGAGCGCAATGATAATACCAACATGGGCCAGTGAAGCAACGTCCTCCACAACTAGACTGAAGAACAAAAGGACAGCAACTGGTCTGTTCCCCTTCCCTGATTCCCCAACACTGTTCCGCAAATTCCCCAATAAAATATTTTTTTAAAAATCCTCAAAATAATGTAATAAAATTAGGGTACTAGGCTTAGGGTACTAGGAACTCCCCCAAAGGCAGAGTTGGTGTCTATGAAACTACATAGTTTAATATTGTCTCATGTAATATACTGGGGATCTTCAATGAATAATTGCAATTAAAAATTTACATTTATACAACTTAAAAAAAACAAAGAAATTACCTATATCTGATGCATTACCTCAAAACGATGTTGCCAAATGTATGAACTAATGAATCTGTAACATAATCTACTGAGTGTTCAGAGCAATATATTCTTCAACTCCTCTGACCAGCCCAAATTAACTTCTGACTTATGGTTCAATATTTAATTTTAAAGCAAAATAAAATGAAATGTGTTTCCCACTTCTCAAAGAGTAAGGAACTAAACTAGAGAAAGAAATAATGGGGTGAATTTTTTATTTTTTTAAGATTTTTTTTAATTGGAGAATTGGGGGATGGGAACAGTGCTGGGGAATTGGGGGAAGGGGAACAGACAAGTTGCTGTTGTTTTGTTCTTCAGTCTAGTTGTGGAGGACGTTGCTTCACTGGCCCAAGCTGGCACCATCATTGCGCTCTTCCCGGGTGAGGCAGATCAGTCGCCGGCTTCTGGATGGCCGCTCACGGCGGCTGCTGGCCGCTCACACTGGCTGCTGGCTACACACGGTAGCCCATGGCAACCCACTGCAGCAGGCAACTCACAGCAGCCCAGCTGCAGGTTGAGCTGTTGTTCAGCATCTTAGCTGTAGAGGGCAGTGTCACTGGCCCTCATATGTGAGATCTGAACCGGGACCCTCTGGCGTCCCAAGCCAGCTCTTAACCAACGCGCCACTCGTCTGGCCCTGGGGTGAATTTTTAAACAACATAATCTCCCTCAGTTCTGAAATCGAGGGCACGCACAGATCTTTATCACTTTTAATTTCCAATTATCCACAGTAGCATGGACAGAAATAGCATGAAAAAATGAAATTCCCATGTCAGAGGAAATGGACTGACAGGTATTTATTGAATCTCTATAACTATTTCTTAAAATAATGAGTGTTTACTATGCATTAGGCTCTATGCTGTTTCAGGGAAAATAAAGATATGGCTCTTGTCCTCAAGGAGGTGGTAATCTAATAGGGGGCTGGGCATGTATACAAATAACTAGAATACAAGACAGAACATAAGTACCTAGGTATAAATAGAAGTGCTACTAAGTCTTAGAGGAAGAGCAAGTGTCAGAGATTTCGTTAGGAATCTAAGGCTGTCATTAAGAGCTAGATTTTGAAAACAGAATTTTAAAAGGTAGGGATGCAGGGAAGAGGTAATTTGCAATGGAGAAGCATGGGAAAAGGCACAGAGGTAGAAAAGAATAGACCATGGTTAGAAAGTGGCAAGTACTCCAGTTGAAGACAAACAGGTCACATATAAAAGAAACAAAATAGGATTGCTGTATTTAAAGATTATGGAGGACATTAGGTAGTAAGGAATTTGGTCTTTATTTACAAGGAGCCACTGAAGATTACAGAGCAAGAAACAATAATCAGAAGATTATTCCAATAGTCTTAGAGGTAATGAGGGCTTGGACTAGGGTAGTGAGGTGAAGATAGAAGGAGAGATAGCTGGTAAAAATATTGCAGAGGTAGAATTGACCAGATTTTGGCACATGATGGAATACAGGGGGAAAAGAAGGAATCCATGAATCTAAGATTTCAGTCTTTGACAGCTGGATATATACCAAAAGACAGTAGAGGAGTGAATGTGGGCAATGAGAGAGATCAGAACTAGAGATTGGATTCAGGAATGAAGAGTCGAAGCTAAGAAAACCGTAGATGTATTTATTACTGAAGGGAACATGTATAAAAGAAAAGAAGGGATCAGAGAATAAATTCATTCAACAAATTTTTATTGAAAAGTTACCATAACAAGCACGTTTGTGGGTATTAGAGATAAAATGGTGAACATGATAACATTTATTTGGTGAAAAAAGATTAGCAAGTAACAGAAATAGAAAAGGAACAGTCAGAGCAATAAGATTAAGAGATGTCATAGAACACAAAGACAAAGTTTCCAGAGGGAAGAAGCGGTTGACAGTGTTATACTGTTTTTTTGTTTGTTTGTTTTTCGCTAGAGATCAAAAGGCAAGGAAGACTGAGAAAAGAGCATTAGACTTAATCATTTAAAGGTCACTAGTGATCTTCATAAGAGCAATTTACAGAATCATAGGTGCAAAAATCATCAAGAGGGGAGTTGGTAGTGAGGCCAAAAGCTTCGAGTCATCCTCATATCTTCTTTCTTTCCTATCCTACATCTGGTATGTCAGAAAATTCTACCAGTTGTTTTTTTTTTTAAGAAATGTGACATTTTTTTAATTGGGGAATTAGGGGAGGGGAACAGCGCTGGGGAATCAGGGGAAGGGAAACAGACAAGTTGTTGTCCTTCTGTTCCTCAGTCTAGTTGTGGAGGACGTTGCTTCACTGGCCCATGTTGGTATTACCATTGTGCTCTTTTCGGCTGAGGCAGATCAGTCGCCGGCCACTGGACGGCCACTCACGCCGGCTCTTGGCAGCTCACACCAGCTGTCAACAGCTCACTCTGGCTGCCGGCCACTCATGGTAGCTTATGGCAGCCCACTGCAGCAGGGGCTGCAGCCTACGCTGTCGCCAGCGACTCACGGCAGCCCAGCTCCAGGTTGAGCTGTTGTTCAGCATCTTAGCTGTAGAGGGCGCAGTGTCACTGGCCCTCATGTGGGATCCGAACCGGGGCCCCACTGCTCAGAGCTGGTGTCCCAAGCCAGCTCTTAACCAATGCGCCACTCGGCCAGCCCTCTACCAGTTTTACTTTTATAATTTCTCTAGAATCTGACCACTTCTCACCATCCACACTTCTACCCTGGATCATGACACCATCAGCTCTTGCCTAGATTATTGCAATGGCCACCTAACCAGTCTCCCTGCTTCGACCGTAGCACCCACCACAGTCTATTCAACACAGAGGCCAGAGTGATGTTATTAAAATACAAGTCAGACCATGTCACTCCCCTGCCCCAAAACCCCAAATGGCTCCCCAACTCCTTGGAGTTAATAACATAAATATTTACAGTGAACTATAATATAATGTCTTTCTTACACAACCTGTTTCCACTACTTCCCTAAAAACATCTACTTTTCCTAATATTCCCTCTGCTCCAGCACACTAGTATCTTTGCTGTTCCTCAAATAACCCAGGTATATAGTTCTACCTTTGCACTTGCTATTCCTTCTGTATGAAATGCTCTTTTCTTCAAATAGCCACATAGCCAGATCCCTCACTTCCTCAGGTCTCCACTAAAAAAACACCTTCTTACCGAGTTCTTTCCTGGCCACCCTATTTAAAATCTCAACCATTCAGAGGCTTCCAGTTAAGATGGTGGAGGAAGTAAATGGGGTAATCACTTTGTAATTTATACAGATGTCCAATCACTATGTTGTACACCTGAAAGTAATGTAATATTGTATGTCAACTGTAATTGAAAAATTAAAAATGTATTAAAAAATGAATCAAAAGACCTTATCAAATTGTTCCAAACGCAGGTAACAGGAAGCTAAATTCCTCTTCAGCTTGGGCAAGTTCAGATCCCGTTGATCACATTCATAAAATTTCAGAGAATAACAGTACCAGAGTAAGGCATCAGCGTAATCTTGTTCCTAAATTTTAAAAAGAAATAATAAAATCACACAGATATCTCTACATTTGACCCTAATTTTTTCAAGTCACCCTTAGAAACAAAAAATGGTACTGTTTTCTTTTTTAGGCAACCCAAACACAACCACCTCTCTAGTTGAGTTCTAAGTATATGATTTTTATAGTGAACACACTGTTTTATTTGTTAGTGTAGAGAAAGAATATAAAGCATGAAAAAAGATTATTCCCAAACCTGAAAACTTTTGGCAGCTTTTTCCCACAGAATGTCATGTAAATAGCCTATTGCTTGTATTGTCAGTTGTCTTCCTGTTTGGTGACCTGAAAAAAAAACAACACAAAAAACTCACAATCTTAAAACAAGAATCAAGATCTATTACATTAAATAAAAAGAGCTAACTATATTCAGAACCTATAATCTTTAAGTAATGGCTACAAACACAATCTCATTCAGACAGGTTTTCATCATCAATTGTAGGTTTGCTAGCAAAATTGATTATACAATACAATCAGAGTTGAGTAGAATCACAGTAATTCGCCCATCAATCTGTGATAGTTTTCCAGCCTAATCTCCCTTTAACATATTTTCCATGTTCCAAATTTGATCATCATCTGATGCCTTAATGTTATTGTGAATGAACAGGAAGCAATGCTAGAAATCATTAAACAGCAGTGCTTATATTTTTATGTATTAAGTAGATCAGATCAAGCTCACAAGAAAGGCCAATTATACCTTAAAGCCTTTGTAAAATACTTTAAGACCACGTTTACACATAAACTTTATTACTTTAAATTGTAACTTGTGCCTGATTGTTTCTGGTCTAGACATTTACAAGGTTCAAATATATTAGCACACATTAAGGTAAAGTTTAAAACAATAATAGAAATTAAAACAATAATAGAATTCTACACCCACTTCTCTTTCACCCCTTTGGCACTATCGATTTCCACAAAAGTACTGCTTAAAACACTGAGAGTCTCTGACCCCCATGCCCAGACAGCAGATATAGTTTGTTCCATGACTTAGTTAAAAAAATACTCACATGCAATATACAGATAAAGTATTACAGAAATGTATACTTGAAACTTATATAATTTCACTTACCAATGTCACCCCAATTTAATAAAGATTTTAAAAATATCCACATGAGAGTAAAAAGCTACTTAATGTATCTACTTAAACTATTATAATGCTTTGAAAGCATAAATGTGTAATCAGATATTACAATAAACTTTGGCTAACTATAATCTTAGGAAAATGAGTTATTCTGGATAACCAAGTTTTCTATTTGGCTAACAATTTGCTTTCATTAAACAAAACAGTTTTTGTTTTAAAAAGTCTAAATCATTTCATTAATTCCATAATTTTTCTAAAAATTATGTTTTATGAATTATGTTTTTGCAAACATACTTTCTAGTTTTCTGAAGCACAAATTAACCTTTTTTTGACCATTCAAGGCCAACAGCACTAACAATTATTGTGTTTTATTGTGCTATTAATATATCACAGAGATGCCTTTGAGAATTATTATATAGTACAAGTTATTATACATTTTTTAAAATATTTGAAACTTTTATAAAATTTGTAGAGTTTTTTTCTTACCTCGTGGTCAGGTTAGTTGTATATTTCCCTGTAGACCCATTCACTCTTTGTAATATGCTACCATTAAAATGCTAAGCGTTGGAAAACCAGATGATCGAGCTTATTAAAATTGGTTCTAAAAGTAACTGAATTCTTAGTAAGGGTCTGGAGGGAGGGTGTCATCAGTAAAATATGGCTCATGCACTCTAGAGTTCAAAAGATTCTTAGAGATTATCTAGTCAAAAGATTTTTTTTTTTTTTTTAAGCTGAGCCATCCTGCTACCTGTTGGCAGCTCAGCGGCTGCTCAGCTCGGGCTGGACTCGAACCGCTGTTGCTCAGAGCTCAAACTCTTGAGCGAGCTCTTAACCAACTGAGCCACTCGGCCGGCCCTAGTCAAAAGATTTTTTATCTAAAAATATCAATGTTTGTTTTTATAAAAACATGACACATGCTTATAAAAATTCAGGCCATCTGGTAAAATATAAAGAGAACACCAAATCACCTAAAATGCCATCACTCAAAATAAATCCCAGTGTTAACATTTAGCGACTATCATTCCAGTAATATCTCTCTATATGTGTGTGTAGAGTTGGAAGAAGAGATTGAGGCAAGAATTTTCTAAGAAAGGGATCATACTATCTGTGCTCTTCAGGATATAGGGCTGTACAGAAAAGCAGGGGAATGCTAACATTTGGCTCTACATCTCTGCTTTAACCAGAGCAGCTCCAGTGTATTTTATTTGGGGCAGGGTTCATATAAGATTACATCATAAAACGATGCTGCTGCCAAAAAGAAGTTAAAAACTAGGAATGTAGTTCACAAACTTAATTTCATAGCCAGAAAAAAACAAGGTCCAGAGATATTATTGACTTGCCTGAAGGCACACAGCTAAATTGAGATCAAACTGGAAACATGAAATTACGCTTCCAAACATCACAATTTTCCACTACACATGAGTTTTAAAGCTCAGAGGTTTGTCTGTTTTTGTTGATATTTCTTGCTTATTTTCTCATTCTAGCTTGCCAAACAGGGGCAATCTGGATAGGTGAGGCGTTACAGTTAAAGGTTATTAGGGAAAAAAAAGAAGTGAGAAAAAGGAAAAGTCTGTTGACCTGAGGATTTTGCTACTGTTTTGACATCTATCTTAGAATTACATGCATATTAACGCCTTTCTAAAATAACTGTAGAAATCCTACTGACCTATAATGATTTCTTCAATCTTCTCCTTGGCAAGTAGTTCTTCTTTCTTCTGTATAAGTATGTCAACGTGGAACAGTAAAGCTATTCCAATATTTTCTGATGACTTAAAATGTTCACAGATCAACTTCAGGACATAAAAGCCAAAAGAGTCTCTGTGCAATGAGACACAGTTGTAAAGAGTTATGAATAGAATAACTGGGTGTTTTTTTTATCAATAGGACTAAAGTTTATTTGAGTATAATCAAAACAGTTAAGATAAAACTATATCTGGGCTTAGGAAATATTATTAAAGGTCTAAATAAGCCTATTTGTCAAAATAAATCATTTAATTCAATTCCTCTTTTATTTATTAAGCCACAAACATTTCCTTTCCATGAACACCTATAGTAACATAATCATCTCTCTCCTAATACCTTATTTATGCTTTTTCTCCAAAAATGATGCCAATTTATAAAAACTGGATCATGAGATCCAGTGAAGATGCATGAACTGACATTAGAAACGTACCAGTCACTCATGATGAGAATTTTTAGAATCTGCTCTCTTAGCAACATTCAAATATACCACCCAGCAGTGTTAACTGTAGTCACCATGTGGCACAGTACATCTCTAATATTTACTTATCTTATAACTGGAGGTTTGTACACTTTGACCACCTTCTCAAGTCATTATGCTACACACCTTTAAACTTATACAAAGCTGGTTGGTATTTATATCTCAGTAAAACTGAAAAAGAAAAACAAGGAATTTACCAGTTCCTTTTGCCAACAACTCTTTAAAAACTTTATATATGCTTGAATACACTAATAATACACCAGTATATTTTGGTTTTTTAAAAATGCAAACAGTTAATGGGCTGGAAAATTTAATATTATTAAGATGTCAATACTCCCAAAGCAATCTACAGATTTCATGCAATCCCTATGAGAATCCCAATGACACTTTTTTACAGAAATGGAAAACTCTATCCCAAAATTCATATGGAATCTCAAGAGACCTTGAAGAGCCAAGACAATCCTTAAACAGAAGAACAAAGCTAGAGAACTCACACTTCCTGATTTCAAAATTTACCACAAAGGTACAGTAATCAAAACAGTGTGGTGTTGGCATAAAGACAGACATATACACCAATGAAATAGACTAAAGAATCCAGAAATAAATTCTTGCATATATGGGCAAAAAACTTTCAACAAGGGTGTCAAGATAATTCAATGGGGAAAAGAACAGTCTTTTTAACACATGGCACTGGGACAACAGGATGTCCACATGCAAAAGAATGAAATTGGATCTTTACCTTACACCATACACAAAAATGAACTCAAAATGGATCAAAGACCTAAATATTAGTGGTAAAACTATTAGAAGAAAACATAGGGGAAAATCTTCACAACATTGGATTTGGCAATGATTTCTTGGATATGACACCAAAAGCACAAAAGTAAAAATAGACAAATTAAACTATATCAAAATTTAAAATTTCTGTGTATTAAAGAACATAATCAACAGAGTGAAAAGGCAATGTATGGATTGGAAAAAAATACTTGCAAGTCACTTAGCTGATACAGGGTTAACACACAGAATAGAATATATAAAGAACTCCTACAGCTCAACAACAAAAAACCCCAACAACCTGATTTAAAGTTGGCAAAGGACTTAAATCGACATTTCTGTAAAGAAGCAGTCATCTTCCCCTGAAAGGCTAATCTTAAATTATATCATTTACCCACCCAACCAGGCCAGTCAGGGCATTCACAGCTCAGTGTAAGCTCTGACCCAGGCAGCAAATCCGCATTCTCTCTGTTGTCTCTACTGGTCCCACCCAGCCTTTCAGCAGCCTTCCTGTCTCTATCCAGACCTGGCCCCTGTCCACAGGACTTAACCTCTTGGTGTGTGCTCTCAGTAATCTGTTACCTGGGCATGATGTCTTCTCTACCTTTTCCCTAGAGCCCTCATCCCTCAGGGGTCTGCTGAAAAGGAACAGCCCCCTTAGTAATCTCTTCTGAAAACCCAAACCAGATGATCCTTTACTTTCTGTGTTTCTTTCAGACTATGTGAATAAACCATTAGCAGGAAAGAAAACTTAGTACTTTACTGAAATGCAATTGAAAGATAAAACAATTAATGAAGGAAAAAGACTGAAGGAGGAAAAAACTCAAGGATTAGAAGAAAAGAAAGCAAATGAAAGAACATTTTGAGGCTGAACAACAAATAGGGAAGCAATTCAGGTAAAGAAATAAAAATGAAGATAAATACATAATCTTGCAATAGGCATATTAAAAAGGATTTGGAATTGCTAATTTACAGAAATTACAGCTTTGGGGTGTATGCACATCAGTTTTATCTTTATTTCTTGGTAAGAATATGTACATTGAAAAATGACACAGTGTACAGAAGAGTTCACCTAGCAGCCCTGGGACTGTCTATTCTTAGAAAGGCCTGCTTGCAAGGTTGACCCTTGGCTGACATCTGGTCACTTGGCTGGTGAACAGTTCCTTCCCTACATTGATATAAAATTTCCCTTAATAATAAGGGTCGCTCACTATGTCTAGAACAGGGTTCGGCAACCTGCGGCTCGCAAGCCACATGCGGCTCTTTGGGTACGTTCCATCTCAGAAGTTTGCCGACCCCTGGAAGACCCAATCCTGTCCCTCACAACAATTTAAAAATTATTCGAGAGCTGTAAATATATTTTTACATACTCACCATTATGTGAATAATATCCTGTAAAAATTTTATAAATGAAACTATGAGAGTTTCATTTTCATTTTCAATTTTACTTCAGAGCCTGTGGCTCGCAAGCCGCAGTTTGTTGACCACTGGCGGCTCTTTTGTCTCAAAAGTTTGACGACCTCTGGTCTAGACTGTGCAAACAAGATGGTTTATACTGAATATCTACTTCCCTTCTGGGTATCTGGATTCTTACTGTGTGCAAGGTAGGGGTGCCTACATGACCAGCACCCGTTTAAAGCTTGGGGATTGAGTCTCTAATGAGCTCCCTGATAAACAACAGTTCACACCTGTGGTCACAACCCATCACTAGAGGAATTAAGCATGCCCTGTGCAACTGTACTGAGAGAGAACTCTTGAAAGCTCATGCCTTGTGTCCTTTTCAACTTTGCTCCACGTGCCTTTTACCTTTACTTTTACTGATTTTGTTTTGGACCCTTTCTTTGTAATAAATCTCAGCCATGATTATTACTACAGATGATCTGATAAGCCTAACTCGACACACAGACACATGCATAGAGCTGCAAAGCACACGAGCAAAGCCTGATGGAACTAAAAGAAGAAACAGACAAATCCACAGTTAAGGACTTCAGCACTCCCTTTCAAAAATTCATAGACATAGACAAAAATCAGCAAAGATATATATAACAACTTGATAACTCATCAACAGTATCTAATTGATGTTTACAGAAGACTTTATTAAACAGCAGCAGAATACACTATCTTTTCAAGTTTCCACAGAACAATTACCAAATAAGCCATATTCTCGGCCATAAATAAAATACACCTTAAGAAATTTAAAAGAATGGAAATCATACAGAGTGTGTTCTCTGATAACACGGATTAAACAGAAATCAATAACAGAAAGATAACCAAGTTAAAATGAAAACAATATATCAAAGTCTGTGGGATGCAGCTACAGCAGAGCTGTGAGGAAAATTTGTTATCATTAAAGGCTTACCCAGAAAAGAAGAAAAGTTTCACATCAATAAGCTAAGCTCCCATTGTCAAGAAACTAGAAAAGGAAGGGCAAAATAAGCCCAAAGCAAGCAGAAAGAAGTAAATAATAAAGATAAGAGCAGAAATCAATAAAATTAAAACAGAAAAAAACATCAATGCAACAAAAAGTTGAAGTTGGTCCTTCAAAAAATACATATAAAATTGACAAAACTCTAGCAAGACTAAGGAATAAAAAAAGACCAGACTCAAATGACCAATATCAGGAATGAAACAGGGGATATCATTACAGACACTGCATACTTGTACATCAAAAGGATAATAAGGATGCAGCCATTATGGAAATCAGTTTGGAGGTATCTCAAAAAACTGGAAATGGAGCTAACATATAACACAGCAATTCCAATTTTGGGTATCTATCCACAGCAACCCAAGACACTATTTCGAAAAAATATATGCACCCCTATGTTTATTGCAGCACTATTTACAATAGCCAAGACGTGGAAACAACTGAAATGCCCATCGGTAGACGACTGTATTAAGAAACTGTGGTACGTTTACACAATGAAGTATTACTCCGCTATAAAGAATGAAATCGTACCATTTGCAATGATATGGATGGACCTAGAGACTATTATGTTAAGTGAAATAAGTCAGTCGAAGAAAGACAAATCCCATATGATCTCACTTATATGTGGAATCTTAAAAACTGAATGAATGAGCAAAGTAAACAGAAATAGTCTCAGAGATATAGAGGAAAAACTGATGGCTGCAAGTTGGGAGTGGGTTGGGGATGAGGGAGAAGGAGAAGGGATTAGACAACATAAATAGTTAACTATAATATTGCCACAAGGACATGAAAGACAGTTCGGGGAATATAATTAATAATGTTGTGAATATTTTGTAGGGTGTCAGATGGTCACATGTCTTGTTAGGGAGACCACTTCATGAATGGGGTAGAGGCTTGATCACTGCACTGTACACCTGAAGCTGATGTTGTATAATATTTTATGTCAACTATAATTGAATATGTATATATTCATGGGATGTGGAGTATAGTGTGTGAGTGGAGTCAAGGGAATTGTGATAGATATGTACGATATCAGGGGAGGGAGTGGAGTGGGGCGGTGGATTGGGGGAAGGGGGCTGTCACTTTGAGGAGTTAAAAGTATAACTATTGCACTGTGTTGTACACCTGAAACTAAAAAAAAAAGATAATAAGGAAACACTATGAACAATTCTACACACAGAAATTTAACAAGTAAGATGAAAATGGGCCAATTCCCCGCAAAGCAAAAAAAGCCCAATACAACTTGACAGAATAAAATACATAATTTGAATAATCCTGTAACTATTAAAGAAATTGAACTCGTAATATAAAAACTCCTGAAAAAGAAGTTGTGGGCTGACATAGTTTCACTGAAGAATTCTACCAAATTTTTGAAGAATTAACACCAATTCTGTACAATATCTTCCAGAAATAGAAGAGGAATGAACGAACACTTCCCAATTCATTTTATCAAGACAGCATTACCCTGACAACAAAGTCAGACAAAGGCAGTATAAAGTAAGAACACTGTAGACCAATATCGTACCTCATGAATACAGATGCCAAGATCCTTAGCAAAATATTAACAAATAGAAAGAAGCAATATATTCGAAGAAGCAACACCATGACCAAGTGATGTTTATTTCAAGGGTGCAAGGCTGGTTCCATACTTGAAAAATAATTGTTGCAATTAACCTTATTAAGAGACTACAGAAGTAAGATAACATGATATCAACAGATGCAGAAGCAGTATTTGACAGAACAACACCAATTTATGATTTTTAAAAAAAACAACTCTCAAAAAGGTGAGAATAGAGGGCCACTTCTTCAACTTGATAAAGAACATCTACAACAAGTCTGCAGTTATCCTTATGCTTAAAAATACAACCAGCAACAGCAGAGCATCCTTCCTTCTCAAGCGCACATGGAACATTTACCAGAATAGATTATATTCTAGGCTATACCACAAGCCTCAGTAATTCAAAAAATTCAAATTATATGAAGTATGTTCTCTGGCCAAATGGAATTATATTAGAAATCAGTAACAGAAAGATCTTTGGTGAAATGTCCAACTACTTGGAAACTAAATAACACACTTCTAAATAGCCATGAGCCAAATAACAAAATTGAAAGAGAAATTTGAATGTGTGTTGAACTGAATGAAAATGAAAACATGTTTAAAATTTGTGGGGTGCTGCTCAAGTGGTACTTCATGGAAAATTAACAGTAGTAAATTCTTATAGAAAAAAAGAAAGGTCTTAAATCAATGATATCATCTTCTACTTGAAGGAACTCAAAGGACAAGAGGAAACACAACCCAAAGTAAGCACAATAAAGGAATAATAAATATCAAAGCAGAGGTCAATGAAAAAGAAAATAGCAAAATCAATGAAACCAAAAGCTGGTTCCCTGGGAAGATCAATAAAATTGATAACCCTCTAGCCAGACTAACCAAGGATGAGAGAAGACACAAATTACCAACATCAAGACAAGAGAGATGACATCACTAGGTTTTTACAAATGTTAAAAGGTTAATAAGGGAATATCATAAACAACTTTCTTTCAATATATTTTAGATCTTCAATGAAACAATTCCTTTGAAAGACTCAAATTACCAAACCTCACTCAAGAAGAACTAGATAACCTGAATAGCACTACATCTATTAAAGGAATTGAGTATATAGTTAAAAACCTTGCCATCAAAGAAACTTCCAGGCCCAATGGTTTCCCTGTTTAATTCTACCAAATCTTTAAGGAAGAAGTAATACCAATTTAGCATACATTCTTTCAGAAAATTAGAAGGGAAGCTTTACTTCTCAATTTATTCAATTAGGCCATCATTAATCCAATACAAAAACCAAATACAGAAATTACAAGAAAATAGTACTACTAATCAATAGCCCTCATGAACATACATGTAAAAATTCTAAACGAAATTTTACCAAATCAAATTTAACAATACATAAAAAGTATAATACATCATGATCAAGTGGGGTTTATTCCAAGAATGCAGATATACAAAAATAAAGTCAAATGGACCACAGACCTAACTGTAAAACCCCATCCCTGACACAGGGTTCCTAAAGCTTTGTAAATTCCCAAGTGGTAAGAGCACTAGGAGCATCTTTTTTCCTACTGAGATGACTCTGGGTGGGCTCCTGGACAGCTCCAGGATGAGGGCAAGTCACCAGAAAGACCAAACCATAATTAGAACCATGGAATTTTCTGCCGCACCCTCACATCCTCCAGAGAATGGAGAAGGACTAGAAATGGAATTAATAGTTGATCATGCCTACATGAGGAAGCCTCCATAAGTCCCAACAGTATGGGGTTCAGAGAGCTTCTAGGCTGGCCAACATTCACACGGGGAGGATTATGCACCCCAACTCCATGGGGACAGAAACTCCTGCACTCAGAACCCTCCCAGACCTCGCCCTATTTGTTCATCTGGCTGGTCACCTGTATCCTTTATCATGTCCTTTAATAAACTGATAAACCTAAGTGTTTCCCTGAGTTCTGTGAGCCGCTCTAGCAAATTAATCGAACAGAAGGAAGGAATTATTGGAACCTCTGATCTACAGCTGGTTGGTCAGAAACACAGGTGGTGACCTGGGCTTGCGAGTGGCACCTGAAATGTGTATGGGGGCAGGGGCCAGTCTTGTGGAACTGAGCCCTTAACTTGTGGGATCTGACACTACGTCCAGGTAGATAGTATCAGAATTGAGTCAAACTGCAGGACACCCAGCTGGTGTCACAGAAAATTACTTGGTGTGGGGAAAAACCTCCACACATTTAGTGACCAGAGGTCCAATGTTTTGTGTAAATAGTAAAGGAGACAGACTCACTGGGAAGAAATACATAGGAGAAAACCACATAGTAGGGAAGAACTAGGTTTTTCCTTTCAGTGCAGCTACTGAGGACTTGATTCAACTATAAAAGTAGAACATGTGGAAATCAGAGATTAAGAGCAACTGATACTGTAAAGATCTAGTTTTGTAAGCCTAGTAAACTAACCATGTGACATGGCTGCTGGAAAAAGAGTTAATTTAAGCATTGGCTGCATGAAAAGAAACAAAGGATCTAGAACAGTGCTGGCCGGTAGAAGTTCCTGTGATAATAGAAATGCTGTCCAATGAGAGCCGGCAGACACATGTGGCTACTGAGACTTAATGTACGTAGTGTGACTGAGGGAACCAAAGTTTTTATTTTGTTTAATTTTAATTAATTTACGTTTAAATAGCTACATGTGGCTAGTTGTTACCATATCAGATAGTGCAGGTTTAGAATATTCAGAACATGAAAGGTATGTTGTTGGTTAGATGGGGAGAGCTGTGTTCATTTCTAGTTACCATACTTATAAAAACTGCAAGTGACATCCAGGAAGTGAGCTTATTAGTAACAGTGTTAGAATGAACTGGGGAAGAGCTGTCAAGTAAAGGATTTAGATGCTACCGCATGGCAGAACTAGCAGCCTTAGAAATTACTGGAAAATATGTATCAATTCTATATGAGGCATAAAAATATAATAATCTCTTCCACAGGTTCTCCAGAAGAAGCTGAATGACATTTCATCCAAGAAGTCATGTGCCAGGTAAGAGACTGGTCATACAAACAATGGTTGGCAAGCTACAGTTTGCAGGCCAAATCCAAACAGCCACCGGTTTTTGTAAATAAAGTTTTATCGGAACACAGCCACTTTCAATTATTTATAGATTGTCTCTGGCTGCTTTCACACTACAACAGCAGATTCAGTAGGTGTGACAGAGACATTATGGCCCACAAAGCCTAAAAGACGCTATTTACTACCTGGCCTGTGGTCTAAAATAGTGGTTCCCAGAACCCCCTGGAGAACGAATACAGAATACAGAGGCCTGGCCTTGTTGGAGTAAGGTGGGGCCTGGCCTCTATATTTTTATCTAGTTCCCTAGTGATTATATTTTAATAGCTTTATTAAAGGCATAATTCACATACCATACAATTCATCCATCTAATGTGTACAACCCAATGGAGTTTAGTATATGTGCAACCATTAGCACAGTTGTGCAACCACCACCCAATCAATTTGAGAACATTTTCATCACTTCAAAAAGAAATCGAATACCCATAAGCAGTCACTCCCCATTTTCGCCTAACTCCCACTGCCCTGGGCAACCAATAATCTACTTTGTGTCTCCACAAATTTGTGTATTCTAAAACTATCATATAAATGGAATGATATAAAACGTAGTGGTCTTTTGTAGCTAGCGTTTTCACTCAGCATAATGTTTTTAAGGGATCACCCATGTTGTAACATGTGTCAGTACTGTTTCTTTGCACTGCCAAATAAAATAATACTCCATGGTATGGGTATACCACATTTGTTTATCTATTCATCAGTTGATAGACTTTTTGGTTGATTCCACATTGGAGTATTAAGAATGACGCTACTAAGTGCACTCCTACACAAGTGTTTGTATGGACATACATTTCTTGTTTAACTCAGGATGGGAACTGCTGGTCATATGGTCTGTAACTCTCGATTTAACTTACTGAGGAGCTACCAGACTGTTTCCAAAGCAGCCATACCCTGTCACAGCCCCACTAGCAGTGGATGAGGCTTCCAATGTCTCCATATCCTTCTCAGTATCTGTTATTATCTTTTTTATTATAACCACCCTAGTGGATGTGAAGTGGTGTGTCACTGTGGTTTCAGTGTGCATTTCCCTGCTGGCTGAGATGCTGAGCGTCTTTTCAAGTGCTTTTCCCCAGTAATTCTGATGCACACTGATGTTGGAGAACCACTAAGAGGTCTGCAAGTGCTTCTGACATTAATGAGCCCATGAAAATAGTGCACTTGACCGTGCCTTCCTGTTCCACCTGACACTGGCCTGCAGGTTAACCTAGCGTAACCCCTGTTTTATAAAGTCATGACTATCATATTCCCTTTTCATTTTATTCTTTTTTAAATTTAATGTAATTTTTAAATATAACTTGACTATTGATGGTTTAAATCATTAAGCAAGCAGTTACATCTTCTAATTTGATCAGCACAATGGCAGATATTGTGCTCTGTAAATGTGGATGGAGGCAGACAGATAGAGGATAGATATAAACACATATCCAATATGTGTTCATGGAAACCTTAGAAAAATGTTAGTCTCTAGAGAAAAGAAAATCAATTTTTCTGTACCTTTTATGATCCATCAGCAGTTTAATAATGCTCAGATAGAAGTCTAAAGGCATTTCAAAATGTAGCATTTCCATGATAGCTAACAAAGAGAAAAAATGAAATAGTCATATTAGTTTCATTTTTGAAGAAGCTTAGCTATTTTCAATAATTTTTCTCCGTTCAAAACGTCCTTTCTAAATGTTTGCCATATACCATGTCTTGCCTAACAATTTATCAGAGTCTTTTTATGAAGTAAGAATACCCAGAATTAGAGAGAGTGCAGTGCCACAGGCACTCTGAAACGGATGGCAAAATAACCTGGTACAATCCTTTGGAAAAGCGATTTGGCAATACTATTATTATATGATAAGAGCATGGTGGTTCAAAGGAAGACAACTCCTAGTCCCTAACATTTTTCAACCCGTGTATACTGTGATGATGCTGTTACCTAGAGATGCAGAATCCTTTGTACATTTCAGCTGAGGTCTCTTAGTAATTGGTAAAGATTCTAGAGGTCACAGAAAAGTTTCAGCAGTACTCAATTAGCACTAAATTTAGAGCTACTTCCAAATTTGATTATTGTCCTATTATTACGAATTATTATTATTCATTGATAATCAGTTGTCATACTAACATATAATGTTATGTAGTAAAAATAATGCAGCTCTATAATACAACTATATTTTTATATAGTAAAAAATAAAGCATTTATACATTAAAAGAATTTAGAGTAAGTTATTTTTATGACTAAACATAATTGACAAACTGTAAGGGGCCAGTGTGCACAGAGAGATTCTTTTGCCTCGCTTAATACATCTACATAGTAGTAATAACAGTGATAATAATAACTGCAATAATATTAATACACACTATGCACCAGGTATGGTGCTAATTGATTTATATACATTTTCTCATGGATTACCAAAACAATACAATGAAGTGGACATTATTATATCACTTTTAATGATGAAACTGAGGCAAGGCACAGAAAAGTTAAGTAACTTGCCAAATAACCCACAGCTGTATATCAGGATGTTTACTTTGCTTTATGATGTGTATATTCTAGTCCCTTAAGAATTTTGAAAAACAAATAGCAATGTTTATACAAGTAATTATGAAGAGCACAGCATTACAAAAGCTTTTTCCATCAACAGCTAATCAACAGCTAATCTTTCTTCATGGTAATAGACAACTTCAGGAGGCTGGACAGTTGTAACTCTCTGCTAGACTAAAAGAAAACCAACAGCTTTTATTCAGTTCTTTTTTACTATGCATTAAATTTGCTACTATTCTATCTTCTTTCTCTTTTTCTTCCTGGCTAACAATCTTCTTCCCTTCCTATGTGATTAATTTCCTTCTCAGTCACCATCAAATTATACTATAAAAGATCTTATATTTAACAAATTGGTAGCGATATTTCAAAATTGTGTGCTTTTCACACACAGAGATGATACCTTCAAGGAGTTCTTCATTAGATGTTTCGCCTTTCAAAAGGATTTTCATCTTTAAGAGAAACCCACCCAGGTTTACATGCTCCTATTTTAAAGAAACAAATCACAATGATGTTAAAAGTGTAGAAGGTCAAAGACAATTCTCAGGTAATTGCCTGTTTTACTCAACCACAGCAAGATGACTCATGATCAAAGGAAATCAAAATTATAAAAGATCAGATCATAACATCCGGTCTATCCTTGAGGATATTTTCTAATATTTTATTCAATCTAAATGAAATAATACAAGGAAAAGAATGTGAAAACATGTCCACCACTGGCAAGCACTTAATGGCAAAGTCAATACTTAAACTGTGTGAATGTAAAGCCCTACTCTTGTCTTGGTAAGCAAAACCCCAAACATCCATTAGAACTGTTTTCTTTTGAGATTTCAATAACAGTTAAGGTACTTTGTAAACAATGGTTAAATGAAATAGAAAAACGTTGTCTTTTCTATAGGCTATGCCCGTCATATTTACTATTCATAACAATGGACTCTGAATGGTTTTCCAAGTTCTTGTTAGCTGGCCCTAAGCCATCTGTGATCTTTTGCCTGGTTCCACTTTTGCCTGACAGGGTACATCTTTAAACAGCTGGCTAAGATTAAAAGAGCAGTACAGGCCCTCAGAAAAGAACTTTCCTCTCTACGAAGCCAATTAACCTCTACATGAACACTGCACTCATTAGGTCCAAACTTTAAAAATGATTATAGTTATTCATATGTGAGATGCCTTAAAAATAAAAAGTTAAGAGGGCTGGCCGAGTGGCTCAGTCGGTTAAGAGCTCGCTCAAGAGTTTGAGCTCTGAGCAACAGCGGGTCGAGTCCAGCCCGAGCTGAGCAGCCGCTGAGCTGCCAACAGGTAGCAGGATGGCTCAGCTAAAAAAACAAAACAAAACAAAAGGTAGAGATTGTCAGATTGGATTAAAAAAAGTTAAGACCCAACATATGCAGTTTACAAGAAACATACTTTAAACACAAAGACATAAACAGAAAAAAATGGAGCAAGATACACCATGATAACACTAGTCAAAAGAAAGCTGAAGTAACTATATTAACAAAAGACAAAGAAGGTTTAAGAGCAAATGCGGTGTCTCTATAAAATGAGATATTGCTCTACAATAAAGGCCTCGTACATACACACAACAGGAATGACTCTCAGAATACTTATAGTGAGTGAAAGAAGCCATACTAAACAAGAGTACATTTTCTGTGATCCCATTTGTATATGTCTCCATTCATTTTCATGCTTCTAATCTTGTTGAAAAAAATTCTTTCTAAAATGTATCAGTAAGTATGTCTTATTGAGTAAAACATATTGATCTTAACTGAATCTCTCTTTGAATGGTCATCAGCCTGACTACTGGTGTTCCTTATCCAGTAGTGTAGAGATATGTATGCATGTACATATATATGTATGCATGTACACATGTATGTGTGAGCATGAGGAGAAAGAAAACCATTTTTAAACTAAATTCCATTATCTGCCTATTTTATAATTTCCTCCTTTACCCTAAAAAGCTCACAGCAGAGAGAAGCCTTTCTGTTTTGTACAAAAGAATTTTTTAACGTATCTGTTGTCAATGAGGTATATTTTATTTCTCCTTTCTGTGCTGTAGAAAAGATTATTACAATCTTTTGTTTAAAAAGAAAAAGTAGGGGGACAGCCAGGTGGCTCAGTTGGTTAGAGCTCGAGCTCTTAACAAGGTTGCCAGTTTGACTCCTGCATGGGATGGTGGGTTGTGCCCCCCTCCCCGGAACTAGATTGAAAATGGTGACTGAACTTGGAGCTGAGCGGTCCTGGAAAAAACATTGTTCCCTGAAAAAACACATTGTTCCCAAATAAAGTTTTTTTTTAAAAACTAGGAATACTGAAGGAAATGTCCAAACTGGATTTCAAAATGTGAATCAAAGCTTCAAAAAATTCATTAAGCTAATATTCAAGAGTAAAAACTTCTTATACCTTGTTTGCTAGGTTGATAGCATTGAGAGCCTTATCATAATATTCTGTGTCGTCCCAATCCAAATAAGCAGTGGCTAGTAAACGTAGAACTTTAGCCTATAATTGAAAATAGAAAAAAGTATACAACTGCGGGTTAAATTGCAATGCAACAGTTGACTAGTACATACATGGCGACAGGCATCTCCTCAAACATAAGTCATCATTATGAAATAGCATTTTCTTAGGTAACCACATAGTCTTGGGATATGTCTCCTCATTGTGTTACCCACACAAAACACTGGATTTCATAGCAATAGCTTATTTAAATTTAATATAATTGTGTTAATTGCATTATTTTCTTAACATGTTTAGCATTAAAGTACTTTATCATCCCCATTTTAAAAATAAAGGAAACTAAGGCTAAGGCACAGCGATATTTAATTTAGTCATTTACCACCTACTGTATAGATAGCATTTTATTAACCCCCCATCCAAAAAGTATTGGGTTGTCAGAAAAGTCATGATGTATTTTTTCTGATGTATTTTTTCATTGCAAAAATGCGTCATGATTTTTCCAACAACCCAATAAATAGAAAGACATAATCCCTCTCTCAGACTTTATAGCTTAGTTGACATTAACCAATTGGACCAAGGCACACATACCACCATGGCAGTAGAAACAGGTATACTTTCCTAGAGAGAAGATTTCTCCCAACTCAGCTAAGTTTTAAAAATGATAACGTAGTGCTGAATTAAGTCAGTTTCTCCAGCCAGGTCTACATTGGTAATGGGAGTAACTCTATTCAGTGTGGATATATTTAACTACAGATTTGCATTTTGAAAAAAAGAAGTGCTCTTTCAATGAAGAATCTGTCTCGAAGTATAATAAAAACAGTAGGACCAGGCAAAGGTGATCTTCTAACAATAAAAAAATATATCATATATGTTAAGCACATGAAGCCTCTGTGAAACCAGAGAGATGACATTTAGGGTATCATATCTCTGAGTTTTTTCATTCAAAAAGTAAGATGGATCAAGTAAGATGAATATAATGTACTTAATATCATTATTATTGTGGAACAACTCTGAACTTAAAACTCTCCTAGAATACTTTTATGAATATGGCATCTCTGAGTTATTTTGTAATAGTAAAAGGGTCAAACAATCAGAAAAATATAACAAAATGGATGAATCTCCAAATTATTATGTTAAGCAAAAGAAGGGGGACATAAGACAGTACATACTGGGTCCGGCCGAGTGGCTCGGTTGGTTAAGAATTGGCTTGAGGGGCCGGCCGAGTGGCGCGATGGTTAAGAACTGGCTTGGGATGCCAGAGGGCCCTGGTTCGGATCCCACATATGAGGGCCAGTGACATTGCCCTCCACAGCTAAGATGCTGAACAACAGCTCAACCTGGAGCTGGGCTGCCATGAATCGCCGGCGATGGCATAGGCTGCAGCCCCTGTGGCAGTGGGTTGCCATGGGCTGCAGCCAGCGTGAGCGGCCAGCAGCCGCAGTGAGCGGCCGTCCAGAAGCCGGCGACTGATCTGCCTCGCCTAGGAAGAGCGCAATGATGGTGCCAACTTGGGCCAGTGAAGTGATGTCCTCCACAACTAGACTGAAGAACAAAAGGACAGCAACTTGTCTGTTCCCCTCCCCCCAATTCCGCAGCATTGTTCCCATCCCCACAATTCCCCAATAAAAATCTTAAAAAAAAAAAGAATTGGCTTGAGTGCGAGCTCTGAACAACAGGGCCACTGGTTCGGTTCCCATATGGGCCAGTGATGCTGCGCCCGAGCTGAGCTGTTGCTGAGTTGCCAACAGGTGGCGGGATGGCTCAGCTGATGAGAGCACGTGCTCCTAACAAGATTGCCTGTTCGATGGTGGGCTACGCCCACTGCAACTAAGACTGAACTTGGCACCTTGAGCTAGCATGAAAGAAAAACTACTTCACCAACCATACTTTAATAAAATACTTTAAAAAAATACTTAAAACCAAAAGAAAAAAAAACTACTTCATAATCTCACATCTCCATACTTTGCAGTATGAGTATTACATTTCCATCACGATTAAATACTGTCTTCCATCCTCATTTCTTCCTCCAGACGTCTTCTCATCTAGACCCCTTGCCTGGTATTCCTTTCTCCCTCCCTTTTACCTGTGTGGACCCCATCTATTTTCCAAGGTCTTCCCACCACAAGGCTTTTTCAACTACTCTGGTCAACCTTAACAGCCCCCTTTCTGCATACCCTTCTACATACTCCAGGTTGGTACCACACAGTTCATTGTTTATTTTTCCCAAAATGTTTCACTTGCACTCATTTTTTGTTTGTTTGTTTGTTTTTGTTTTAAGCTGAGCCATCCTGCCACCTGTTGGCAGCTCAGTGGCAGCTCAGCTCGGCCTGGGGAATCAAACTGCTGTTGCTCAGAGCTCAAACGCTTGAGTGAGCTCTTAACCAACTGAGCCACTCGGCGGGCCCTTGGCTTTGTTTTTTTGTTTGTTTGTTTGTTTGACTTGCACTCATTTTTTAAATCGATTTTTGAAATTTTAATTTCCAAAAAGTGTAAGGTACAAAGTGTAAGGTACAAAAAAAGTCCAAAATTTCAAGAGTACAGCTTTAAATTTTCACAAAGTGAACACATGTGTGTTAATGAATCAGAAATCAAGAAACAGGACATTGACAATAGGAGGCTCACCTCACGCCTCTTTCCAGACAGTATTCACACAAGGGTAACAAATCACCTGACTCTCCAACACCATGTATTAGTCTGCCTGCTTTTGGCATTTCCATTTATGGAATCACACAGTATGTATGACTTCACATCTTGCTTTATTTATTCAACACTGTATGTCAGACCACCCATATTGTTGCAATTCTTATTGTTCTTTTATTCTCGTTGCTACTGAATACGCCATTCTGTCATACTATCACAATATATTTTCATTGTGATAAAATACACATAACATAAAATTGGCCATCTTAGCCATTTTTAAGTGTATGGTTCAGTAGTTTTAAGTATATTCACATTGTTGTACAACCATCACAACCGTACATCTCTAGAATACTTTTCATCTTGCAAAATTGAAACTGTACCTATTGAACAATAGCTCTCATGTTCCCCTCCCTCCAAACCCCTGCAGCCACCTTTCCACTTTCTGTCTCTATGCATTTGATTACTCAAGGTACTTCATCTAAGTGGAATCATACAGTACTTGTCTTTTTGTAACCGCCTTATTTCACTTAGCACACTGTCCTCAAGACTCATGTGTCAGAGTTTCCTTCCTTTTCAACGTTGAGTAACATTCCATTGTATTCACTTTATACAGAAGCTTTTTAAGGGTAGAGGCCATGTTTTATACTTCTTTTTTATTACCCATCTATCAGACTGCTAGATATATATAGGTATTCAGTTACATTTGATTGATGCTATAATGGTAAGGAGCAGAAATGGATATTCAAAAAAATTCCATTTTGCTATGGTGTGTATTTATTTAGTTTTATATCATATTTGTTTACATAACCATATTTTTATTGATTAAATATTAAAGTTAACTCCCATACCAAGCACGTTCTACCTGGGTGGTTAGGGGGAAACCTGGAATTTTAACGTGCAATAATAAAAGCTAAAACTTCTATATAGCCAAACTCTGATTAAGCACTTGACATATATTAATTCATGGGTACAAGACTCTACCTGTAGGGTAGTTTCTATTAGTGTATCAATGTTACAGAAACTAATACACAAGATATTAAATGATGTGCCCAATAGAAAATCTACTCAAGAATGGGGGATAAACTATCATAATTTTATAACAATAACATAAACTGTATTTCTTTAACCTACTTGTACAATATTTAACGTGATCCTTACCAGCATTTCTGGCTCAACAGAATCGTGTGCTATCTTCCCAATATCATAGCTTTGGCTATCATTAAAAAAGAAAAAAATACATAGATACGTATTAATTTCAGATTATATTTTTCAAGATTACATATTACTAAGAAGACATGATATAATACTTTATACCAAATTTTTTATTTGGCACTGCAACAGATTATTAGACAATTAATACATGAAAATCAATACTTTTAACTGTAAAAAAAATCACAATTTCCTCAGGATATAAATCAAATATATCAACATTATAATTACATTATTGCCCTTTTCCATTTGGCTATATATATAAATATACTGCATTAAACTAGTTTACATATTTATACAAGCTCTTAATGGGCACATTTTAAAGTCTAAGAAACATAAATATGTTTTAAAAATAAAACAAGTACAGGAGTTTTCACAGAAACAAATGCTTAGCAATATTTGTTAAGCTTCACAACACCCTTATGAAACACTACTAGTTCCATTTTGTAGCTGAGAGAACCAATTTAGCAGTTAAGTGATTTCTAATATTTCCTAGATTGGTATTGAGAACGAGAGTGAGAGCTTGGGGAGTAGAGCAATTTGACTTGCAGTTTTCTGCTTTAATTACCAAACCATATTATCTATGGGACATTCTGATAACCACAAGTAATATATTAACGTGAGCCTCAGGGTTTCAAAACCTAAAATTTAAAAAGCAAAACAAAGATCACTCACCATGAAATTGGTATTCCAAGGGAGGATGTCAATAAAATTTTGGTGAACCAAACTAAATTGAAGACATTACTTTGAAATATTCCTTTTTTAAAACCTCTCAAAGACCCAGAGCTACCAAACTGCGTTTTCAGCTTGCTAACAAGGATACTATAATGCTGGCCTAGTCACCGTAAGCCCTATCTCATAGAGGTCTCCTTTGGTCCATTAAACCTTCCACATCCAGTTTTCAAAATAACCACTGAGGGGCCGGCCAAGTGGCTCAGTTGGTTAAGAGCTGGCTTAAGAGCGCGAGCTCTGAGCAACAGGGCCACCGGTTCGATGCCCACATGGGCCAGTGATTCTGCACCCAAGCTGAGGTGCCGCTGAGCTGCCAACAGATGGCAGGATGGCTCAGCTGGTGAGAGCACGTGCTCCTCACAAAAAGGCTGCCTGTTCAATGGTGGCTATGCCCACCCGCAACTAAGACTGAACTTGGCACCTTGAGCTGAGTTGCCGCCTGGATGGCTCAGTGGATAGAGCGTGCGCTCTTAACAACAAGGCTGCTGGTTCGACTCCCGCATGGGATGGTGGCTACACCCACCCACAACTAAGATTGAACACAGCACCTTGAGCTTAGAGGCCACGAGCTGCCTATGGGCAGCCAGATGGTGACTGGCACCCTTCACAACAAAGACTGAAGAACAACAACTTGGTTGGTTCCCCTCCCCCAATTCCCCAATAAAATCTTAAAAAAATTAAATAACCAATGAAGATGGAACTTTTGTAATGGTGGTATAAGGAGTTCTTGGACCCTCTACCCAGTGAAACAATCATTTCCTGAAAAAAAATTATTAAAATAAATAACCATTTAAAATCTTCGAAAAGCGTCCTAACGGTATATAGCAAATGGGAAAATATTTATTTTTAAAAAATCAAATCTCAGTAAGAACAGTGAGAATCTGTGGCATTTGAGCTCCTATCTCCTATCCACACCAGCTCCCTGTGATGGAAACTACTCAGCTGTGTGTTCTCTGCAAGGTGGGAATTCCCTCTCCCTCCAGCTCCTAGACTCCTGGGCTACAGTTTCACATTCGGAGGGACAGGCTGTCAGCCTCTTCCCCAGTCCTGTGCGCTGTGAAGTGCCCTTCTGGGCAGGTCTCCCTTTCCTCACCTAGTTCTCACTCTTAGAGTAAGGGCTCTACCCCAGATGAGACAGATTAAGAATCCTAGGCCCTGACTGCCTTCACCCAGGCTGGCTCATTGGGCATGCTGATGAGATCGGGGGCTGCCGTCTCCTCAACACCCACTCCAGGAGCAGCATGCCACATTCCTGCCCCCAACTCTAGTAGTGTGGCACAGAGATCCTACTCAGGGAAAGAGGCAGGCAAAACAGAGGAAGAGCACCAGATTTCCGCCTGAAGGGACTGACTGTTTTGGAAAACAGAGCAGAAATTCCTGCCTATGGGCACTGTCAGAAACAATGGAGATCTCGGTGTTGAGCAACTCAGAGGGGACTGGGGAGCACTACAATAACAGAAGCAACAAGTGGGGCTCAGTTGGCTAAGTTGATTAGTGTGTGCTCTGAGCAACAGGGCTGCCAGTTCGATTCCCACATGGGCCAGTGAGCTGTGCCCTCTGCAACTAGACTGAAGACAATGACTTGAGCTGAGCTGCAGCGGCCAGACGACTCAGTTGGTTAGAGCGTGTGCTCTTAATGACAAGGTTGCCGATTCGACTCCCACATAGGATGGTGGGCTGCACTCCCCACAACTAGATTGAAAACGGCGACTGAACTTGGAGCTGAGCTGGCGCCCTCTACAACTAAGATTGAAGGACAACAACTTGAGTTGGAGCTGTCCCCATGGTCAACCGAGGGCTCAAATTCCATAGATAATAAGAGCCTAGCTGCCATTTACTCACAGGGGCTGCTCTCGTACTCTATCTTGGGAAGAGCCTCAGATGAGCCATTTTCATCTTTCTACCAACAGACTGACACCTGCCCTGCCCAGACAAAACCGCAGAACTGGATCCCTCATTTACATAAAACAGACCTAATTGAGAAACTGGATGGGAAGTTTCACTATAAAAAACAGCTTCCCCTTTGTTTCAGTGAAACATGATTTAAGTTGCTACCTGAATCTGTCTCCCCAGGTTGCACCTCCTTTTTGCTCAAATAAATGCCTTTTATTCTTTATTAGTCTAAAATTAATTTTGGTTTACAATGGTAAGAAAGCCAAGCTTAAAAACCAAATCACAGTTTCAGTTTTCAGTTCCACAGATAAGGAGCTTGGAAGTCACTACTCTGTCCTAACAACAGGTAAAAAGCTGAGGACTAAAAAATCAACAACTGTTCTTGGAACCATAAGAGAGGGGAAGTCACAGGACAAACTGCTACCTCAAAGACTGGAGAGACAGACAGGTGAACACAAGGAGTTGTGGCCATCACAGGAGAGGCTCACAAGCAGCAACTGCCAAGGGAGCCAATGCCGGAGCAGGAAATTGCGAACTGTGAAATGGATAGGCTGCTGGAGGCTCAGCATGGAGAAGTCTGAGAGTTCAAAACTCCATAGTCATAGGGGCACACCCACAATATCGTCAGACTGACCTACTGGACCCTGACCAGATTCTTACAGAAAATATCAGAAAAAAAATCCCCTCAAGCTTTGGCAGGAGGCGGCTAAAAGAACCTATTCTGAAATACACCAGAGCAATCTGTTTTAACAAGACATGCCCTCAAAGGAAACTAGTTAACCAGAGCCTAACTGCTGACCTGGGGAAGAGAAATACTCATCCCCACCCTACTCTAACCATCCTGCACCACCTAAAAGTGGATAAAAAAACTGAGAAACACTGGTGAAGTTCACAGTTCAAAGGCACAGGCTCACCAAAAAACTGAGAACTAATCATAGGACTACAGAATTCTCCCACTCCCCACAAACCTAACCACTATATTACTAAGGGCCTATTTACAACAGTGTATTTTACTCAGTGCATCATCTCCACCTATGAAGAAAAATTACAAAGCATGTCAAAAGGCAAAACACATAATTTGAAATGACAGAGCAAGCATCAGAACCAGACCTAGCAGAGATGTTGAACTTCTCAGTCTGGAAATTTAAAATAACTATGGTTAATATGCTAAGGGCTCTAATGGATAAAGCAGACAGATAGGCAATGTACGCAAAGAGGTGGAAATCCTAAGAACTAGCCAAAAAGAAATGCTAGAGATCAAAAACACTGTAACAGACATGAGGAATGACTGATGGGTTTTTAATAAACTGGACATGGCTAAGGAAAGAATCTATGAGCTAGAGAGTATATCAACAGAATCATTTAAAACAGAACAGCAAAGAAAACACACTGAAAATAACAGAATATCCAAGGACTGGGGCTGGCCGAGTGGCTCAGTTGGTTAAGAGCGCGAGCTCTGAGCAACAGGGTCGCTGGTTCAATTCCCATGTGGGCCAGTGAGCTGCGCCCAAGCTGAGCTGCTGCTGAGCTGCCAAGACGCGGTGGGATGGCTCAGCTGGTGAGAGCACATGCTCCTAACAACAAGGTTGCCAGTTCCACTCCTGCATGTGATGGTGGCTACACCCACCCACGACTAAGATTTAACACGCAACCTTAAGCTGAGCGACCCTGAGCTACTGACGGACAGCCAGATGGCAACTGGACTTGGAGCTGAGCTAGCTGTGCCCTCCACAACTAAGACTGAAGGACAACAACTTGTCTGTTCCCCTTCCCCAATTCCCCAATAAAATCTTTAAAAAAAAAAAGAATATCCAAGGACTGTGGGATAACTACAAAAGGTATAACATAAATGTAATGAAAATACCAGAAGTAAAAACAAAAAAAGTGAGAAACAGAAGAAATATGTGAAATAATAATGACTGAGAATTGCCCCCAAATTAATATCCAATACCTAACCACATGTCAAGAAAATTAAGGAACACCAAGCAGGATAAATGCCAATAATGCTACACCTAGGTATATCATTTTCAAATTACAGAAAATCAAAGATAGAGTCCTGAAACAAGCAAGAGGGAAAAAAACACCTTACCTATAAAGATGCAAAGGTAAGAATAACATTCAACGTCTCAGAAGCCATGCAAGAAAAGAAGGAATGAAATATTTAAAGTGTTGAGAAAAATACCACCAACCTAAAACTCTGTACCCTGCGAAAATACCATTCAAAAGTAAAGAAGAAATAAGGATTTTCTCCTTTTGAGGAAATTTGTTGCCAGCAGATGGGCCTTACAAGAAATATTGAAAGAAGTTCTTTAGAGACAGAAACTTGGATCAACTTAAAGTAGGAAAGAGCATAGAAGAAGGAAGTGAAGGTAAAGTACA